GACAATCGGCGAGAAACCTGCACGAAGGTCGCTCGCCTTACTGATTTTGGAAGGTGGTCGTGACACGGCAAATGTTTCGTTTCTTTCTTGTGTTAATTAAAAAAAGTTATATTTAAAAGTATCACGTGCTGATCATCAATTACCTTGGTTACCGAATACCTCGTTATACCGGATCATTGAGGCCAAACCAGTGTGTTTGTTATAACGAGGTTTGACTGTAATGGAAACCTCAATAAAAAAAGGCAGGTCATGGTAGTGGCAACGATTTATTAATATTGAAGGAAGCAATAAAAAACTGCTGATATCATCGTGCAGTGCAGATCATCTACCTTTGTGAGAGTAAATTTATATTCGTATCGGTAATTTTCGGAATGATAATATTAATGTGTTGATTTTTCAACGAAAAAACAATGTGTCATTTTTAATCATTTTTGTATATATAAACAAATAGTTCGATAATAATTAAATAAATCAAAAAAAAAAAAAAATGTTACGTTCAACTATTTGCACGTCGACAATTTTAAGTCAGCGAATCGCAACATTAATATCTCGAAATTTTATTACTAGGCTTGCACCAATGCAATCTGTCATAAACAATCAAAATGATGATTTAAATAATCATATTCCGGCAGAACTACTTCGTACCTCTCATCCAAAACCAATTCGACATGAAATTGTTGAATCAAAGGAACCCTTGAAAACCAAAGATCTTGAAAACCTAGATATTGATATTACTCTCCATCGCGAACCTGTTACTATTTCGGATAAAATTGCTTTTAGGATTGTGAAATTATTAAGGATGCCTACAGATTGGTTATTTAAAAAGAATTATATTCATAGAGCTGTAATGTTGGAAACTGCAAGTAAAAATTCCTATAAAAAATTTTTTTTAATGATCCTTTAATAAAGATAGATATTAATACATTAAAATTTATGCAGGTTGCTGCGGTTCCTGGGTTAGTAGGAGGAACTATTCGACACTTGAAATCACTTAGAAAGTTGGAACATGATGGTGGTTGGATTGAACATTTGCTTCATGAGGCTGAAAATGAACGGCAAGTAATTTCTTCTTTAAGCATTTATCTATTTCATTTATTCTATTCTAATATTTATTTTTCTACTAATTAGTATGCATTTAATGACATGGATGCGTATTTCACAACCAAAATTGTGGGAACGTGCATTGATAACTCTTGTTCAAGGTGTTTTTTATAATGCATTTTTTGCTTTGTATCTCCTTAGTCCAAAAACTGCACATCGAGTAGTCGGATATCTTGAAGAAGAAGCAATCATCAGTTACACTTCATTTCTGAATGGTTTGTTTTCATATTTCGCAACATATTAATATCAACCTATTTTATTTGGTAAATAATGTTTATTAAATTAAATTAAATTTTAGAAATCGATAAAGGCAACATTGAAAATCTTAAAACAGTTCCAGATCTTGCTACTGACTATTGGCATTTAGATCGAGAAAGTGCCACGTTACGTGATGTAGTACTTGCGGTCCGTGCTGATGAAGCCACACATCGTGACACAAATCATCATTTAGCTGATCGTATCCTTTTAGGAAGGGAGGATTTACGTGAAGATATTAAAAAAGTGTTTGATGAGGAAAAAAGCAACAGAACACATAAAATGGCTGGAATGAACCAAAATGCTCAAGATAAATGGAAGTGGTAAATAATAATGATAAAAAACCCCCATCATTTTTGTTATATATATGAATATAATATTTTAATAAATCATAGGTAGAAAAAGTAAATGAGAACTTTATTATTAATTAACATATATATGTAGTGCATGTAAACATACATCCATCTTTAATTTTCCCATTTTTGTTCAACTTGCTAATCTTACCATTATCTTCTGATGGTAATAATAAATGTCTCTTTTATAAACATACTATTTGGGTTCATATTTTTTTGCAGTTCAGTAAATAAAGTAAGTTTAGGGTGTGTTCTTTGGTGTCATTGAATATGCCTTTAATATTTGATTAATTAGTTAATGAATTTTTCTTTTTTGCAGCAATATCTGATTTACTGTTCACATACTGTAAACCTTTCCTTTTTTTTTTTTTTGCTTCTAGACATTTGTCTCCAGCATGTAGTATCAAACTAAATTTTATTTTATTTTTCTCCTCTAAAGTAAGATATATAATATTAAAAAAAAGAATGATGCTAAAAAGATTATCTAATTACTTTATCCATCAGATTAATTGAATTATATCTTTTTAAGTCACATAAAAGTAATCTGCAAGTCTGGATCTGGAGATGTCCAGATCCTAAAAAGCACTGACTATACATGCAGCCCAAATTAATTTGTGAATGTCATAATATTATGACATCTAAGTGATAACTGTAATGCCAAAATCAAAAGTCATACTAAGTCATAATGTCATAATTAGGCCATGATGTCATAATAATGTCATAATACAAATGTATTTTTAACTTACCTATAAGCTTACTATGAGGTAGCTTTTTGGTCAATGTTGATTATTTTACGAATTTGAATTAACTTTTGAGCTACACTCATTGATTGATTGCTGCTTATCAATTAATTTATTTTATGAATTTATCCTGTTTACTGCCTCTTTCTTGTACCTAGAAAGCTTTGACGAATCTGTAAGCACACTTTTATGGTATAATTAACAATAAATAAAATGTTGCCCTATTATAAAGCAATGAATGCTTTGCTAAGATTCCTTGTTTATTTACTTTCTTTGACTGATTAAATTAAGCTGTATGTTTGTAACAACACTTTAACAAAGTGACTTGTGATAACAAATTTGGTTAATAGATGTTAGCACTTTATATCTGGCTGGACAATCTTTACACCTTATGTTTACACAAAAACGCTTTGATTCCTTTACAAAAACCAAAAATTAAACCTTTGCTTTCTACCAAAGAAAATAACCAAGATCAAGTTACAAAGTTCTATACCACTCTGTTAAATAAACAAATGGACAGTCAAACCTACTGTTTATTTTCCAACTACAAAAATGTTTTTATTAAATGAAAAGAATTAATTTATGTTTGTTACAGAAATTAATTAACAAACAAAAATAATTAAATTTCTGTATTAATTAAATAGATGATAGTTCATAGTCCATAGTCATTAGTCATTTTCTGTGTTTAATAAAATAGTAATAGAACAATTTTATCAAAGTTCTAGTCAAACATGCAACCCAATATTTTACATTAAGACAATTGAAAATGGACATCTAAATATATTTATGACATTACAACATGTCAAAAGTCATATTAAATCCAAATTTCCAAATAATGAAAAAAAGATGAAAGTGAACAATAATAAAATTGTTAAACAACTTTTTATCCAACGAATGCAAACAACAATAATAAAATTGTTTAATTATTAAAAAAATGGTGGCAGTTAATTTTCAGGAAAATATCGATGCTGATATCAATAATAAAGAAAATAGAGGTTGATCATATTGATCCTTTAACAAATGATGAAATAGATATTGATCTTACAAGTATTATCAGAAATGTATCCCACTGTTAAGATACTTAACAAGATGAACATTTATTTCTTGTATTCTGCTAAATAATTTTTTTTTAATCAGTCCAAAAAGGTCATATCAATGGCAAGAGTATGAAGTGATATCCAAATGAAAACCAAAAAGAAACTCAGACTTCATTTATCAACACCAATAGTTAATAATTGTAAAATATATGAATCTAATGATGATGATATTAGAGAGGTTTGTGATTATAGTGAATATAATAGTAGCACTGGAATAGATTCCACATCAGAAGAAATAGATATGCAATCAGATGATGATGATGAAATTGAAATCACAAGAGAAGGAGAACGTTGGAATTCTATCATAAATGAATGGATAATAATGGTTCAACAAGAAAATCAATTTCATGATGATGATGAATACATGTATTCTTCAGAATTGGAAATAGGGTTTGAATTAGAGTACATCCTGCAGAAGACAATTTGATGAATTGGTCATTGGAATCACTTTTTATTGATGAATTGGAGTCACCAACTTTTCTGGGTAGTTATGCTATTTTTTACTGATGCCTATTGAATTCCAAAACATTCTATTATTTTAGAGAAAGATATAAATATAAATATTTTTATTTTTATAAGAATATTTCTATTTTGATCTGTACCAATCACGTTGCTTAATTTTATATGACCTTGTGCTAGGTCATTGAATTGGATAAAATGACCAGTCCATCAAAATCATATGGTCATAAATTGACCATTTACCAACACTGATATGAATTATATTCAATAAATCCAACAGAAACATGTGGTTATTTTAAAAAATCACTCAAATCACTATAACCAATCAACTTCAAACAATGAATTTATTTAGAAATATCAGAAGTAAATTGTCTGGATTAGTATTCTACAAGATTTAAAGGTCTCAATTAGGCCATTCAAATTTAGAAATCTGTTTAACATCCTTTTTTAGAAAAAATAAACATTTAAACATTTTGATCTACCCTATAAAAATTTTTATAAGCTTTTGATGATCAAAATGTTAGTTTAAATTCAAATTTTTGAAAAAGATGAGGGGGGAGGATGATGTTAAACAGAACTTCAAGTTTTAACTGTTTTGTACTGTTTTGTCACACATAGCTCATGTTTTTTTTCAATGCAAGCAACTAGTGTAGTATAGCTAAATACACACCAAGTCCAATTGTAATATATGTATGGATCCTGAAAAGAATGTTTGTTTTTTATAAAATATATTTCTTTTAAACTGTTTGAGAAAAAGCTTGGGACTAGGATTGTTAATGGTCCAATCTGGTCCAAAGACCATCAATCTAATCAAAGGACCAGCCCAGACCATGTCCAGACTTAAGGTTTTTATCTGAATAACAAATGGAGCAAATGAAACAAATAAACAAATGACTCAAATAAAACAAATGACTTGATAAAATGAATAAATGATAAAATGAATAAATGAATGAATCAGGTAATTTGAATAAAACAAATGATTCAAATAAAATGAATATTTCGAAGAATTTGCATCATAAGGAATGGGCATTTATAGATACAATGAATGAATTTTGATTTATATAAAACTGTATATATTCTTTTTTTTTTGAATATTAATAATTGGAAGAGTTATGATATTTTTAACAAATAAATGCCTAAAAGAATTCAACGGTCCAAACGGTCTTTGGTACCTAATACCGGGCCGACTCGATCCACGGTCCATTCAGTCTGGACCGGACCGTTAACATCTATTCAATATATAGGCGTATAAACTCAATGAATTGATCGACAAGGGGTTCGATTTTTTCCAGAATCGATTTCCAAATTTGGTATTGAAAATTTCTGATTTTTTTTGTTCGCATTGTATTTAAAAAAAAAAAGGTTTTTTCTAATTTGTTCAAATACGGTAATAGCAATAGTAAATATTTTAAGGATACACAAAGAGGATGTTCATTTAATTTCCCGGGATCAACGAACGGGTCGTTCAAAAAAAAAAAACTAATACTAAACAATTTTTATTATTATTTTTGTTTAAAAAAAAAAAAAAGTCGGAGAAAAAAGAGAAGAAAAAAAATTTTAACCACTAAAATAAGTTTTCTAAAAAAAATATATATATTTAAAATTTTAAAAAACAAATCATATTTCTTTTATTATATGATTATTATTACTAAAAAAATAAAATAATAAAAAGAAACCAATAAGAATAAATTTAAATCTTTCTTTTTTTCTTTCTAATACCTACCTTCTTTTAAAAAAATAAACACTATCTTCATTTTTATCATCGTTATCATTACCACCCACCACCATCACATCGCACTTTAACATTACCAAATATTAAAACTAAACAATTACATCTAACAGCGAGTAGCATCGACTAGAAAAACAATATTTATTTTCTTAATCTTACATATCTTTCTAAAATAAAAAGGAATTTAGATCATTATTATTAAAGAAAAATGTCTGACATAGCAGAAAGAATAGCTGCAGCTCGTAAGGAAGCTGAAACTTTAAAAGAAAAAATCAAAATGAAAAGAGATTCGTTGGCTGACACATCTTGTAATTATTTTTTAGGCCTTTATTTTATTTTTATGATCAGAAAGTGTATTATTGGTTTAATTAATATCTGCTAAAATATTAATGTTTTTTTACATTATGCATATATATGTATACATGTATGTATTATATAAAATAAAAATAGTAATAACAATGGCAGCAGAAATAGAACCATTACCAAGGATTGTAATGAAAATTCGTCGTACACTTAAAGGACATCTTGCCAAAATTTATGCGATGCATTGGGCATCAGATCAAAGGCATTTGGTATCTGCATCACAAGATGGTAAACTTATTGTTTGGGATGCACCAACCACCAACAAGGTTCATGCTATTCCGCTTAAATCGTCATGGGTGATGACATGTGCCTATGCACCAACTGGAGACTTTGTTGCTTGTGGAGGACTTGACAACATATGTTCTATATATAATTTGAAAACAAAAGAAGGCTCTGTCAAAGTTGCCAGAGAATTAGCGGCTCACACCGGCTACCTTTCTTGTTGTCGGTTCATTAGTGATAGACAAATATTAACGTCATCAGGTGATATGACTTGTATGCTTTGGGATATTGTTGCTGGTATGAAAGTATTAGAGTTTAACGATCATACTGGTGATGTAATGAGGTATATTAATAAATTTTTTAATATGAATGTGAAATTTGAAATGCGATTATAATATTAATATTATAACTATTATTATTACTATTATTTATTGTCTATTCAATTGTCTAGCCTGTCACTTGCTCCGAGTCAACAAATTTTTGTTTCTGGTGCTTGTGATTCTACAGCAAAAATTTGGGATATTAGAACTGGCCATTGTGTGCAAACATTCACTGGACACGAATCTGATATAAATGCTGTACAGTAAGTTTTGCGCATATTATAATTTAATTTAAATTTAATTAATATAACTAATTAATTACAATAATTAGATTCTTTCCCAATGGTGATGCATTTGGAACAGGGTCTGATGATGCATCTTGTAGATTATTTGATCTTCGTGCAGATAGAGAACTTAATCAATACACTCATGATAATATTCTTTGTGGAATTACTTCAGTTGCGTTTTCAGTTTCTGGGCGTCTTCTTTTTGCTGGTTATGATGATTTTAATTGTAATGTATGGGACACATTAAAAGGTGAACGTGTTGGTGTTTTAGCAGGTCATGAAAATCGTGTGAGTTGTTTGGGTGTATCTGATGATGGTATGGCTTTATGTACGGGTAGTTGGGATTCATCATTAAAGGTAGGAAAATATTTAATGAATCGGATGATCGCTTAATTGATGATTTTTTATTTATTTATTTTAAATATTTATAAATGACAATTGATTATATATTACAGGTTTGGGCTTGATATCATCAAAAATTTTTGATCCTTTTTTTTTGATTGTGTTATAATCTTGTACAAGTAAAGCAAAACAATATTTTTTTCCAAAGAATAAATTAGAAGAATAATAATTAGAAGAAAGAAATAATATTTTATTACTCATTCATCATATATAATTCACAAATTCACCCACTCACACTCACACAAAAAAAACATATATACACATCCGCACTTTTTAATTTTTACACACAATACACACATGTTCTTATAAAAAATTTTTTTTGAATTTTTTTTTTTTTTAAATGTAATTGTTTTTTTAAAATTTTTCATGGTTATTTAATTTTTTTCATGTTTTTTTTTTAATTCATAAATATATATATTACATTACTAGAAATTAATGATAGTTTAATTTTCCTCTAAACCCCTATTAATTAAGGAATTAGGTTTTTAATTTACTATCAACAATTATTGACAAAGTAATATATAATATATAATATAATATAATATAATATAATATAATATAATATATAAAAAACAATATATATATATGTATGTATGTATGTATGTATTCATCATAATAATATAATATTTGCTAACAAATAATTTTATTTATACTTGATACATTATACTGCCATTGCCATAAATCATAACATATATAATAAATATAACATCAGCGTATACATATATGTAATTATGAATAAATGCAATTTTTATTTTGAGTAGGGATGAGTTTTTTATGATCATGGTCTAAGTTTTTTATTTTTGAAATGAAATTTGATATTATTGGTGATGAATGAGCAAATCATGATTATAACGAAAAAAAATTTTCTTAAATATAAAATTTTTTACATAAATAAAACCTTAATTATAATACTAATATAATTATAATTATGGTAAATCTAATTATATTAATTTTATATTTATTTAATATTCTAAAAATTATTATAATTACTTTTTTAATATTTAATTGTTTAAATATTTTACTTGGATAATATATAAATATTTTGTTTTGGTATTCAAATTTCCTTTGGTCATTTGTTTGCTCGTACCAAGGTCACTAGTACTGTTATATCATCGATTTTCCTATTAATTATACAACAATTGTAAGTTATTTATAACAAAAACATTTTGAAAGAAAAGGTGTTAAAGTAACCATTGTTGAAATGGTAATTAATATTCTGAATAAATTTAGACCAAAACCTCTTTATAACACACAATGTGCGTTTTAAAATTATTAGAAATTAACTAACAATTGAATCAACCAAATTTTTTTTTATAAAAATTCTCTTAATTCTCTATAAAAAAATGCTTATATATGGACCAAGTAAACCATAACAACAACAACAACAAATAAAAATAGAAAAAGAAAGCTTACCCTCCAATCCTATTTTCTCCACTTTTTTTTGCACTTTGTGAAAAAGGACTTACACGCCTAGAATCTAATGAAAATCTTCTAGCAGTATCTGTTAATTGTCTTGATAATTTTTTTACATGAGTTCGTAATTCATCAAGATTACCACTATCATAAAAAGTTCTATCTCGATTTATAACGTTTCTTAATTCTTTATTAACAATAGCTACAGCTTCGTATGAAAATACATTATCAAAAAAACCATCGGTCGCTAGTAATATTACATCACCATCTTGAAGCTGATGACTGGCTTGATATGCATCACTTGGTTTATCTTTGAAATATAATTTTTGATTTGGAAAATGTTCAGGAACGATTGTTAATTGATACGGACAATTAAAAAAGTGTTGTTGAGCAGGTGACTCATAAATCAATTCACCATTACGAATCAATAGATATGCTGAATCGCCTAATGATGATGCATTAAGTATTCCAGAGGATTTTGAGAGCGAAAGAATACAAGCCGTTGAACTACCGGCATTCACTTTCCCACTTTTTATTAAATTTTCAAATGCGCCTGTTAGTATCTTTTTTGAGTCCAATATATCTGCAAATCCATTAGGTGCACTAAATAATGCGATCTCTGATGAACTAAATTCTTTAGCTACCGAAGCAGAGCTTTCCATTAATGCCCATGAAAAATTAGCAGGATCAACTCCCATCTATATATAAGTTTTTTTTTTATTTTAAAAGAAATTTTTTTTTTTGATTAATTATAATAATAAATAATGATAATTATTAATTAATACCTGAGACCAACCACCCACACCATCAGCAACACCTAAAGCAACACCATTATTGGTTCCCACATAAAAAAAAGCATCTTCTCCAGCATCAACTTTACCAGGTCTCATTCGTTCTTTCCACCATAGATTTTCGGATATTGAATTGACAACTGGTACCTTTTGACGTTTTCTTTTAGGATGCCATGAAGCAGCTATTAAATATGTAAAACCTTTCGTGGTAGTTACCGGTAAACCTCCAACTCGTAAAGGAGTCGAATAAAAAGATTTTAAAAGGATTTGTGAATTAATTGCTTGACGTAATGACTGTGAGGCACTGGCAAGAAGACGAGCTGAAAGTGCAGGAAAAGATCCGGGTCGGTAAAAAGGTGTAATGGATGAAGACATTATATAAGGTTACGTTAATGTATGTGTTAATGTTTTTTGTGTCGTTGTTGATGTTTTGATGCTTTAATTAGGAAATAGGAAAAAAAGGAAGAAACAAATACTATTGATGACGTTGCGGTTTGTTAGATGTTAAAAATTACTTTGCTGACTATCTATCATACAACATAAAACTTTATTAAAAAATAAAAATAATAAAAATAAAAGCAGTAATAGTAATTAATAGTAATTAATAACAGTTAATAATTACTTGTCTGCAAAAAAAAAGTCAAATTCGTTTAATAGAAAAAAAGTTGTTTGGTGTTGCAAGGAATCTCTATTTATATTTATATAGTTTATTTACGGTTTATTCG